TCAGTTGACTGACTCCAAATTTTCAAGAAACAAAGTTGGCCTGACAGTGGAGAGGCGTAGATAGGATAGCCGAACTCGTAAACTAGGCGTAAGATAAGCGATGCTCTCACTCGAGGCGCTCAGGCGCTCGCCATCGAGTGCTACGGTAGTATTCAGAATCGGGACACCTCGCCTTTTGATTCCCGCTCAAAATCAACTTTCAAAGTTTCAGAAGTTAAGAGTTGCTCCATCGTCTACTAGTGCTTATGAGCTACCTGCTGGTGGGAGGACGAGTTGCGGTATATGTAGAAATAAACATTATCGAAAAAAAANAAAAAAAACCCCAAAATGTCGAAGTAGTAGTGCTAAAGAATTTTCGAAGATTCATTCAATGAGAGTTTAGGAGTATTTGTATGAAACACTAGCCAATGTTCATCAGTCAATGGTCATGATTATATGAGCGATATCGAACGGTTCTTCAGTGAAAATTCATTGGTGACCAAGATTTCCCGCATAGATAGTCAATCGTGACGATCTTCCCGATATGCGGTATCCGTTTGGAACCCTCAGAACTTTTCCACGTTCTCATAACTGGGGTTAGGTTTATCGCTATGAACTATCATTCGTAAAGATTTTGGCATTTCGTAAAAGAAATGGGTTTTTCGCAGCCAAAGCTGGAGGTTACGATCCTACATTCGGCTCTTGGGCTCGTTCGATCGATCCAATCGATTTTCATTGTTTGCAAAGGTTGCCCACCCATTAATTTATCGGTCAATGGTCATCAGGGCGTCTCAAATTGCAACACATTGGTGGGACCCTGCCGGATTTGCATAGCGTCTGCTCGGCCACATACATTCACTCTCGTCTTGAGTTGGAAATAATACCCATAAAATAGAGAGGGAGCCTTTGCCTTACAAGAGAAGACCCAAGAATACCAGCGCACTGGGCGATTGTTTGAAAATCGTGGCGAAAGATCGAAATTCATACTGAACCATTATCGACATTCCCTTATTTTTGTGGTTTAATCGTGACAAAGTGATAACTGTACATACAGTAAACTCTGACCAATCAGAACTCTTCGCAGATCACGAATCCATATCCCAAAGGCAAATGGGGAAAGCGGCATCAGACTGTAGGGGATGGGCGCGCGCGAAAATCGGGCGTTCCCTAAGCCCCGCCCCGGTGTGCAGAGGACACGCTGCGGCACAGCGTTGACTCCCGCTGACCTCCTCGTGGATAGCCATCGATGTCCTATCTGCTGTGCACTGTTGCCTATGGTCACCCTGACCTCCCCAGAGCTTCTCTGCTCTCATTAATGGGATATGACACGCTTGCAATCTTATTTTTAGCCCGTTGAACCTTAGAACTCTCACTTCCGTTTCCCATGAAAGCCTTGTTTTGCTTCCAAACCCAATGTTATTGGCGTCTGATCAGTTTATTGAATACTCCGCTGTCAGGTCGAAATCTCTGCTTTTTTTTCAAATGGGTAACCTTCTAGCCTTATACTTTCAGCCCAACTTGAGCTGTCTTTCTGTAATGCTAGATCACTTTTTGAGAAGTCTTTCTCACTGGGACCTGTTGTACTGTTGGGTCGGCACAGTTCATAAGAACTCTCGAGCTCCTGGCTGACTCTCAGGGCCACATTTTGCACTTCTTCAAAGGTAGTGACACTTATCTGACAGTTATCAGTGCCATCGAGTTCATTCTACAAAGGCAAACGTTCAAACGCTCAGTTTGAGCGCGAAGGCCTCGCTCAAAGCTTTTCGTTATGGTGCAAACAATCGCCTCCAGATCGATTCAAGGGTGGAATTTCCTGACTGGGTTCTGGAACTTCCATCTCTCCTTTTCTCGAACAGAATTTTTTGGTATCATGCCACCAAGTGAATGGAAACGGCCTCTTTTCGCTCGTTTTGCTTCGCGGTTGTTTCTTACAGATGTTCCATTGATAAGCACTGGTTACAGAATGATATTGATGCTTCCGCTACAGAACATCGTCGCCGTGCGCTTCGCGGGCGACGGCGGCGAACGCGGTACCGGCGGCACGCGGACGGCGTGCTTACGCCACTTATCTCCGTGCATCTTCAGCGTCGCGACAATTTTTGAACTGCCGGCCGCAGCCGCCTTCACCGCTGTCGTCGTGGTCGTCCCCGGGCGTCCTCGGCCTGTCGGACTCTCTTCTCTAAACTGACACTGACACCTCTACCCGTGTCCGACGACCACGTTTACTGATCACGATTTGAATTCTGACACTTCTCGTCGACATGATTCGAGATGATTAAACGATTTTTGTTGACAGCTCACAACCCAGGTGGTTTTCAATAGGAACTAAAATTCGGAACAATAAATTTGAACGATGAAAAGAGCGACTTCATTCCTGTCTACCTAAGCGGCCCCGGGTTCTCTCTGTGCTTTCCTACTGGTCGAGCAGAAGTTAACTTTTTGTCTAACCACTGGTTCGGCTATCTCACGCAACCATGCCTGTCTAGGGACTCACTAGGGAACAATGTCTAGCAAAGACAGGAGCCTTAAACAATACTTCCGGTACTTCACAGAATCCAGAGCTTCAGCACTTGATAATTGTCGCAATTCTCGTCATAGTACTCCTCAAACTATTTGAAATTTGAAAATTGGCCGCTGGCGGGTGATGTCGCCGTTGGACGTCGAACATCGCTGCTTTTTGCATGCAGATAACAAAAAACATGATGCCACGCATACCTAATGAGGCACACCCATTCATTTTTCGCGTACAGTCGTCCCGCATACATTTCAAATTTCAAACACAACACTTTACAACATACTTTATGGCCCGCCTCACTCATAATTTCCATCTAGTATTGTATTTTTTTCATAGGAAGGGCAAAAACTGGAACACACTCTGTCATCCAATCTCTTCCACATGTACATCGGGCTCGATTTTCATTTGTAATCGGTGCCCGCATTGATGGCATATTTGGTGTTTAAATAATTCAATCAATGTTTAAAGCATGCCCTTTTCCTGCCATTTCGATTTAAGGCTAGTGCACTAATTCCTCATTCCTCCTGAATCCTGAATCCTGAAACTGTGCAGAGGTTGATCAGGGTAGGATTCAAGCCAGAATTCTATCATTCATTGATGTGCTCTTGACTCCATTACTGATGCCACCATGACTCCTCTTTCCCTTTAGTTTCGTCACGATTCCTCGACTGAATATGCTTTTTTTGTCAAGTAAGCATGAGAAAAAGTCTTTAGCCGCTCCTCCAGCAAAACGTGAGTGGCCTGTAGGTCTGTGAGGCTTAAATTTGCTCCCAGATTGAGTCGAATCATGGGGTCATCTCAACTCTCCGTTTCAATGTCTTGATCAGAGCTTATTTTTTGTCAATCAGTACCGGCTTCCACTCCATCTCTCTAATTGACTTGATGCAAACTCATGAGAAAAAACGCATATGTAGTATTCTTTGCATATCGCTCAATATGAATGTCATATTCGAATAATAATTGTTCAGTTTGCCTTAATGAATTGTAGATATTGTATAGTACTTGTTACGTGATCTCCATAATCCTCAACATAACATGATATGTTTGTTTTATTGTCCTTCGGCCTCCTATGCTTACTATGGATCGTGGTGACAGCCCGGAGTTTGAAGGTGTAATTACCATCCCCAAATCTTAGCCATTCCTAGTTGTAACTTCGTAGCTTTTGAGAATCATTGGTATATACTATGCCCCTATCTCACCGTTGGTGCGGTGACACACTACAGTTATTCGAACTCTTCAATAATTAACTTTTTTTCGCGACAAAGAGGGAATAAAAAAGTGGTAGCCTAGGTAGTAATGGCCTAGGTACCGAGCCTAGGGAGCTCTGCGATGATTAGAAATTGGTGGAGGAGAATATAGTTCATATCCAATGGCTGACTTGGAATTTTAGGTGAGGTCTTAGTTTACATCAAACAATGGTTAGTACTTCACTACTTATCTACTTTTGATTTACTCAGCTGTAACATCATCTTAACATTNCTTAGCCATTCCTAGTTGTAACGTCGCAGCTTTTGAGAATCATCAGTATATACTATGTCCCTATCTCACCGTTGGTGCGGTGACACACTACAGTTATTCGAACTTTTCAATAATTAACTTTTTTCCGCGACAAAGAGGGAATACAAAAGTGGTGGCATCATCACTGAGCCTAGAGAGCTCTGCAATGATTAGAAATTGATGGAAGAGAGTATAATTCATATCCAATGGCTTACTTAGAATTTTAGATGAGGTCTTAGTTTACATCAAACAATGGTTAGTACTTCACTACTTATCTACTTTTGATTTACTCAGCTGTAACATCATCTTAACATTGCGCCCGACTTCCTGCTTGGATAGAAAAAATACTCCTGTTCAAATCCCTATTAACAGTTTGAACACAGCAACAGATCTCTTGTTCTCTTGTTCATGAAATTTTGCATTTAGATCCATTTTTGTTACTGCTTTTTACAAAAATTTATTTATTTCCCACTGTCAGCACCACAGTTTCTTTCACAAATCATCTAACCATAGCAATTACTCGGCATTAAATACCCGAACGAGTGAAAGAAGGCGTCTGTTCTTTCTATCGCATCGCCGTATTGAGGCAGAGATTTGCATACCGGAAGTCGGGCTTCGGTATGAGCCGCGTATTCGCGCATGCGCGTACAGATGGCCGGCTGATGGATCCGCGAACGCACAGATTCTGCTTTTGCAGTGCAGGTGTGCTTGCGGACTGTCGGCTCATCGCTGCTCCCCCTGCTGTTACAATGAGCGTGTCGTCAATGGAAGGCGTTGACCCGTCTGGTGTGACGCAACGTCTTCTCATCTTTTGTCACTCATCCACGCATTCACACACCTTAATGCATACATACATTCACGCTTGGCACGTTCTATCACCCCGTGCCCTTCCAACTCACTCATCTCGTGTCACTCGATTTGAAAATATATTTTGCCTCGCATTCGCGTCAAGAGACTCCAATGAGTTCAATTGCCATTCATTTTGCCACATTCCAGTACTCTAGTCAGTATGTCGCAATGGGCCGAGATACTGGAGGCAAACAAGGAAAACCTACCGTATCCCGTGGATTTTTCCGATCAGAAACCTACAGTATCTGACAGAAGGGATGCTGTGCTGCCCGAAGTCGACGTTGAGGTCAACACGTTTCATTCGCCATTGTCACANTGTCACAAAAGTCCAGTGCATCTGTTCAAAGCCAAGGTAAGTCTAGATGTCGAATTCTATCTCACTTTCTAACTTTCTTTGAAAAATTTTTATTTCTATCCTTTTGGCAATGTAGCAACACCTTACTCTCTCTGCTTATATGGCATTCATCACTCATGCTCCTCTTAGTTCGTGAAATTGCCATCAGGGTTCATTCTTTTCATGAATCCCACCTGATTGCCCTGATTTTTGTAATAAGGAGTTCCTAGAACATGGTCCGATGCTGGCCGTACTGTACTATGTTCTCATTTGGTAAGCGTTCATCATTTGAAAATATGTGGCCTGATATGCGCTATCTGAGGCCGTTTTGTCGTTGTATATAACTCTGTCGAAAGACAGCAGGCCAATCCTGGAGAGACTACGCAGCAAACGGTCATCGTAGCGAACAGTCTTATCAAAGAAAGGTGTTCAGGAACCCTTATCAGCACCCACCTGGGTCAGTCGTGGCAAACTAGCGTTGACGGGACCAGGAATCAGGTTACAAGAAGTGTTTCATCGATTTGAATTTCGCGCTTCTGAGCGTTGATAAGCTCCGCTGGAAGCATGCAAATCCTCTCGCTGTTCCGTACTGCGCCGTCGTCGAGTCGCACAAACGACACAGCTCTCAAAAGGCAACACTGACAGGCGGCTACTCACTAGGCAAAGCTTTAACTTTGCGAAATCCCAGGCTTCGTCTTCAGCCACCAAGGGGTCATTTGGTTGGGGAGGTCAAATTGGAAAGCAGCATTCTCTTTAGTAACTGCGTGCCTATCACTTAATCATATTCTCTATAAAGTTCAAATAGTACGCGTTCAAAAGGAATTCGCCCTTTTCCTGGCACTACCGTAATTGTCCGACACAGGAAGGCGCGTGCAGGAAGCTTTGTCAACTTGGATGACTTATTTGCTTTGTACGAGTTATGTGTAAATGTTTTTGTGTAGAGCTTGAACGTTAAACCTCCTTGACCATTCTTTCGATCTCTTTCACCTTTTTCAGTGATTTTACCCTTTTATTTGCTTTGTTGGCTTCTAATCACCCACCTTCAGAGGAAATTGGACATATTCGCATGAACATTCTATTGAACTTCGTATTCCTCCACAAGCTTTCCTATTTCGTTTTCTTTTTGAAGATTTCCTAATTTGAAGTAGTAGGATAGTCAGTCCTCTGTTTAGAATCGACCCTCGACTCACCGCGTCCCTTCACAATGACTACATCATCGCGTCGGGAGTCCAGCGACGATTTGGAGGTTGAAAGTGAAGATGGTGAAGTGACGTCCCGCAAGGAGAAAAGTCTCGGTTTATTATGTCAAAGGTACCTATAGAACTGGTAAATTGAGTACCAGGACAGAAAAAGTTGTTTTCTTCAAGGTTTCTTATTGCAATGAACGAGGAGACACGTATGTCATCAAGCAGAGAAGTGCATTTGGAGACAGTGGCACGGAAAATGAGTGAGTGCGATCAACTAGGACAACCATATCTCTTTTCCTCATCAAGGCACGAATAATAAATTACAGATGTTGAGAAACGTCGGATATACGACATCGTTAACGTGATGGAAGCGTTGGATGCTATGAGCAAAACTAACAAGTCCTACTACCGATGGCATGGACTGGAAGGTTTACCGAAACTCATGGCCGACCTTCAGGTTCGTAGGTTTAATGCCGTAAAGCGTTGAAAAGGTGTGATCTTATTAAAAGGGAAGTTTTCAGAAAGAAGCCATAGATGAACATCTACCAGAGCGAGTCCTCCGCGTTGAACAGGCCATGTGCTCATTTACGGAGCTTTCACCCGGCAGCCGAAAGATTGGCGCCAAAGAGATCGTTGGTGAGTTCGTAAAAATAGCGTTCACATATGGAACTGGAACAGGTGGTGAAGTGCACTCTGTGTAGAAGCAAATGACAATCGCTGAAGAAGTCGATGTTATTCGTCTCCTTACCAATGAGATAGTTTCTCGATCCTTCCTAGAAAATTGTAAGTTTAAAAGTACTGCAGCAGTCAATGCTGGGCCCATCACACGGTATTTCTTGATCGCCCTTCTATAAATAGAGGTTACGAGATCACGCAAGAAAGGGTACAAATCAGTTTTATAAACAACAAATGCAACGCAACAATAGAAGCAATAATAAGCAACTCAAATCTATTCTTTCAATAAAGCGGTCTAGTAATTCATGAGGTTGAAATGGAGGGGCAGTGAGGTAAAAAACCAGATCCTCTAAAAACTTCTTTTCAAAAAAACTTTCCGTCGTCATAAAAAAGAATTTCAGGAAGCCTCGTTGGTGAAGACGCCAGTCCCTGCTCATCCAATCATTCCATTGATGTTCTCAGTCTCTCGCAACAAAGCGAGGTAACTTCTTCTTCAAAGACATATACTGTCTAAGAAAACTATTAAGTCTATCACCATCTTTTTATCAATTGTTTCATCTTCCTTTTCAGAAACGTACTCGGGTAGAAGGTCGTGATCGACAAGGCCGAAACTCCCTTGCACAACTCTGCAGACGTTTCCTTATGGTGCTACTGAGTAATCCGGTGAATAAATTTGTTTCTTTTTAGGATTTCAGGATTGTAATATGAATGAACAAGTGAGTGAGGAAGAAGAATAGCCCTTGGTACTCTAATCATGACTCACTTCAGAAAAACACAAGACGAGTAAGCCTGGATGTTGCTAGCACTGTACTTATCAAGGATCCTGACACGGAAGGATTTGAACCGCCTAGTCGAAGTGAGCTATTCAACAATGACTTAGTTTTTTGTATGAATCCTTTTATTCGTATGTTTTTACTTTTCCCTTTCCCATAATCTGCTGTGTAAGTTTATGTCCTCCCCCAAAGTTAACTTTGCCGTCTTGTCACAACAATAAATTAGCTCCCTCTATATGGAAAAAGTCGAGAGAGAAGTTTCAGTAATCTAATATTACCGGAAATCGTTGACGAGCACAAATATATATTCACGAAGCTCACTAACGCAGTGGGCCAAAAGCCAGGTTCAAGTATGTACAGGAATCGGAATCTTTTCAAACCAGTGCCGATTAATTGTCTCAGTCACCCTTCCTGTTGGGTTCGTATTTCTTTGGAAGGGTTAATTGACAAGTTTGATTTCTCAGATGCATCCTTCGCATGATGTCAAAACCCATTATAAAACTTCAGCTACTTTTGAAAGACCCGTCGTCTCTTCAAAATCAAAGAAACACCTCTTTGTTACTACAGACGGATGCGTGGCTTATCTTCGGGATATATCGGTGCTGAGAACGCTTTTTTTTCGCAACTCATGCTGTTTCTTCCAATTTCCCTGAGGCCGAGCTTGAATTGCCTCCTTCTGGCTTTTCTTTATCAGTTTAATGTGAACATAGTATTCCCAAAGAATGAAGTAAACGAATATACGCTTTATTAATCCTCTAGGATTACTCTGAAGATAACTTTTGATTAAAGGTCGCTGCCGAAGGCTCTACGATATCGCAAATGTACTGGTCGCGCTGGGTCTCATCAAAAAAGTTCACTATCTCTTTGGAACCAAGAAAATTCCACTGTTCGTGTACTGTGGTCCCGAGCCTGACGGTTAGTTTCAATGGCACATTACAGAACCTCTCTTGAATCCAGCACTGCACTTTTTTTCAGAGAACTCCACGTTTGACGTGAACGCATGCATTGAACGACTATTGGCATCAACAGCTTCTACCCCACTCACACCTCAGATGAAGGTAAAATTTCTT